TCACTCCAATTAAAGACATCTTAATTTACTAATTATGTTGTTATTAAATAAAAATAATAAAAAATGCATGACATCTACAAGTACTTGAGTCAAAGCCTCACTCGTTATCTGCCTGTTGGTGATAAGTCTAATTTACATCCGGAGTATTATTTTTATTAAAGCGGAAAAGGTGAAAGAGACTTCCATATTTCCACCAAAGTTATAACATGGATCCACCATCATTATTCACTTAACAATTGCCATTTTCCATGATTTCTCAATTTGAACTGATGATGGCATTGCTAGTGAAAGTGAATTTTGAAATTTCTCGAGAATATTAATTTGTTGTTGGCCATTGTGCATTGATGAATACAACATAAATTTAACATATTTTCAACCAATCAAAATAAATCACACACAAGCGGTATGAATATAAGTAAGGAGGATTTCATTCCAACCTCAGCTAATGAGCTCCCAGTCGATCTCTTTATGGTATTTATAAGAACATTCACATGTTTAAAAACTTCTCAAAATTTTCCTTAGCTAGAGATATTCACAAAACAGGCTCCCTAGATGTAGAAGTATGACATTTGTATATCTCCCTCTTTTTGACGTTACTTTTGAGTAAGAAATGTCCTATATATTTGATTTTTAAAAAGATGGTGAGAAATAATGTGTGGATTTTCTTCATCTAGTGATGATAACTTCTCCTTTTTCACCACTAATGAAGGCTGAAGCTTATACTATGCTGATCAACATTGAAACTAGGCGCAAGAGTCTAATGCCTCTAAGCATTAAAAACGCTATACCACCGACCACTACGTACGACATTACTCCATCATTGTGTCACCAAATTAGGATTTCTTAATAGGAAAAAAGCTCAAGTAGTCCGGTACCTAGGCATCAGTTAGACTGTAGCATTAAAATTATTTTCTTTCATTCCCTAAAGAAGAAAAGGCATAAATTCCAACTATGTAATGCTCAACCTCTAAGCTAGTTACGTTAGGGTTTGTTTCCTTCTCTCTATGATGTTGCTCTGAGGTAGTGTGGACCCGGTTCCACTTTTGAGATCCGACTACCCGAGGTAGTGTGGACCCGGTTCCACTTTTGAGATCCGACTACACTAAAACTAGGCAGGTATCTAGTAAATCACTCAAATCAGAATTGCTTCTAGTCTTCCATGATGGAATGATGAACCGAACTACTTCTTGTCACCTCATATACTCCTTACGTTCCACAAAATTTGGCCAAATTGATTTCTCTTAGTCAATGATAATGAATTTTGGGAAATGAATTTAGTTGCTATATCTGTGTGAAATTTATCATCCCTCTCTCCTTTTCTTTTATTGTTTATCTTCTAGATCTATTTATGTTATTTTGTTATTTTTATTTCCTAGCTTTTTTATGCTCTTTTATTTTTGTATCCTTTATGTTTCTTATGTTCCTATGTTATTGTTATCTTATCCGCTTTATTATACTTTTTTTCTTTGTGTTTGTCTCCTCTTTTTAGTACTAATATCATGGATCGATTTATGTTAGCTGACTTCAAATCTTTTGGAATTAAGGCTTGGATTTGTTGTATTTGTGTGAAATTTATGGATTCTATATGATTTAATTTCATATTTTAAATAATCTCGTATTACTCCCTCCGTTCTTTTTTATTAGTCCTTCTTTCCTTTTTGGGACGTTTTTTTTATTTGTCTCTTTTCCCTTTAAGAAAAGTTTTTGAGAAAATACCCCCATTGTTATTACTTTTACCCCACTTACTTTTTACAAACTACTTTCTCTTTCCTACTTTACCATCACTTTACTCTTCTTAATACACTCTCTTTCCTACTTTATCATCATTTTACTCTTTTTAATATACCATCTTTCCTACTTTATCATTTACCCTACACACTCTATACTTACCCTACTACTTTATTATTAAATCCCGTGCCAAACCCTAAGGGGACTACTATTAAAGAACGTAGGTAGTAATAAATATCATTAGTCAAATTTCACCATATTTGACCCAAAAAAATCAATATGACCAAGTTTTGTGAGACAAGGGGACATATTTTTTCAAGCAAAGAAATTAGACATAATTGATTTCAGAATCGGACCAACACTAATTTTATAATTCAACCAGTACTGGTTTGGAACTGAAACTAGTCCTTATCATAACTAGAACCTAATCTTAACGGCCTGGGTTCCCCCTATCATGACTGAGGATTTGATTTTTCTTGAATTTTCCTCATTCGAGTATTTCCAATCATGACTAGAAATTGGGTTTAACCATTGCAAAGAGGACTATGAGTTTGTTTTTGAAGACTGACGTGTTGGGCGAAACTTCAACGACCAAGTCTTTTGATTTTGCCTAGGGGCAGACTCGGGTCGGCCCAGATCGGGCCCGACGGGCTTTCTTCTGCAAGACTTTGGCCCCTGTACCGGCTCAGGTATGCTCCGGACCGGGATGGGGTCGGGCGCAAACAGTACCGGCCGGGCTGGACCGAGTCGGACGGGTCGGTACCACCCATTTCATTAAAAAATAGTGCAATTGGGAGCGGATCAAGTCGGGCCCAATAAATCGAGCCTGAAGCCCTCCCTTTTTAACCACCGGGCCGGGACACCCGGGTCACCCAAGCCGCCCGGGCCCAGTCCGCCCCTAGTTTTGCCAGAAAGGAAGTTCTCTGGACAGGATAGCCAGTAAGCGTCCTATATATAGAGGGTGACATCGATACAAGACACTTCTATATCATGTGGGCAATTTGAGTTAAGTGGGATCAAGAATGACACTCCCACTGAAGGGGGCAGGTCTTGATCAACCAGGGCCGGTCATGTCCATTTATGGGCCTATGGGCGATACGCTAATTCAGGCTTATATCCAATATAAACGTAAACCATATAATAAAAGTATCTAACGAAGTTCATAAAATAAATGCGAGGATCACTTTATTATTATTTAAGTTACATAGTTAGGCAAAAGTAACAACACGAGTATCGAATTAAAAGAAAAAAAATACTTAAAAACGTTTCTCGTAGAAAAATGTGAAGCAAAACTCATAGACAATCTTCTTTCCACTAATAAGTATGACAAACAATAAAAATATCACATATAACAACACTAAACTTTCTTTTAGTTACAACTGAAAAGATAAATGAAAATAAATATTACTACATATTGAATTTATAAGTTGAGAATGATTTATTGACTGCTAAGAATTTAAAGTTTGAAGTCTCGAAAAAATGAAGGTTTTCAAAGAGACAAAATGTTTGGCCACCAAGAAGATTGCCAATTTGTCGTCCTCTTTAACTACTATTAGGAACTCGGATATAGTTTTTTTCAATTTGGAAACAAATAAATAATTGGGATGAGATTTGGGAGCCACGGGTTCTAAAATAATTATATAAATTTTTTATGTTATAACTAAAACTAATAAAAAGTCCTAAAGGCTAAAGAGATGTGAAGAGTAAAGAGACGTGTCTTTTATTGATCCAGCAACAGTTGTATTGCTTTTAAAAACTAACACCGATTCTACGTAAAATTAAATTAGTCCATATATATATATTCTTTTTTAAACTTGGCTTTGTTTAAAAAAAATTATATATGTTTTAAATTTTCAAATTGTCAATAAAATTAAGGTTTAAATATGGTTTTAGTCTCTGCAAATATGGCATACTTTGTTTTAGGTCCTTGCAAAATATTTTCTTTGTTTTTCATCCCTGTAATATGCACTGTTTTGGTTTTAGTCTATCTCTTACTCTGAAACAACTCGACTTTGAATTTTTTGTATTGTTGGTTGCATAAATCTATTAGAAACATTTAAATTTATCAGTTTATAATTTTTTTAGGTTAATAAGAGAGTCAAAACCATATCAAAACTAATTATTTGCATTTTCAAAATATGTATTAAAAACCCTCAAAAAATTAAAATTAAATACTTTTTGAATGACATGACAAAGAATTAAAGGATACCTTTTAGTCGGGATTGTTTCGTTGTCAAGCGGAGGTTGTTATCATTAGTCATGGACTAAAAAGAAAATCAACATAAATGTCAGGGATGAAAAACAAAGAAAATATTTTGCGGGGACCTAAAACAAAGTGTGCTATATTTGCGGGGACTAAAAGCATATTTAACATTTGAACTTAAGAATAAAAGAAGAAGCCTACTCACACAATTTACAAAGAAAAGATTTTGGGCCTATTTCTTCTTCTATATTTTTTCAAGCCTAGGGCGGTCGCCCTTGTTGCCCTCCCCTAGAACCGGCCCTGTGATCAACGATCAAGTGTGAGGTGGTTTACAAAGAAGAATCATGTTCTTTATCCTCTTGATGGTTTTCTGTTTTTCTTACTTTTTGTTTCTCCATTGTTTGTCCAATCCAGTAGCTACAAGCCTACAATTATGTTTACTTCTCTGTTAGCCATACAAACGTAGTCAACTTGTCGAGTGAGAATCACAGAACCAACCAGTCATATTTAGGAAGGTCGATTATAGTGTAGTAGTGTACTAAGTAATAAGGATTAGTTGGTTGTTTTGGTTAGGTTAGAGTAATTTAGTAGTCTCGCTTTAGAAATGTTGATCATCATATACTCTGCAAAAGAAGAAGACTTGACATTATGTTTTATAAATAAGAGAGCTTATCAAAGAATATGTGAATTTGGCTCTTATTTTGGATTATTGGTTAGTGTGGATTGTGGATGACTTAGCACTACAAATGCGTTAGATGACTTACAATGATAGACGATTTATAAACAAAAGAACTCGAATAAGTTGTAAAGAACATGGCAAGAATGAAATCCAAGCCCACAAGGTTTATCATGTACCTACCTACCAGACTAACCAGAGTACCGGCTAGGCAAATAATGCGATAACCATGTACAACAACGCATTAAACAATCGTCAGCCGTTGCTGATTCAATTAATTAATTAATTATAAAATAAAAGTCATATATAAGGGAAAATATGAGTGAGCCAAGGGTCACAGTAATATAAAAACAGTGAAGATATACTACGTATACAGTTGTAAACTACGTACTATGTTTGGGAGAAGGCAGTTGGCATGTATATTAATAAAATATCAAGTTGAATTTGTAACAGGAAGAGTGATTGGGAGTCACCAAAAATGAAAGACACTTTGTGAGCCACCAAGCGTGAGTATGGATTTATTAGAAGATTCATATCTCACGACGGTGTGGAGAAACGAGCCAAAAAAAAACAAGAAGAATGCTACACTGGAACAAAAATTTTACACCTAACAGAGAAACAGAAAGGTGTATGCTGACTGCTGAGGCGTTGATGCATGATTTTCAAAATTTTGTTAAAAATAACATTAATGAAGTCACCAGCCAAGAAGAAGTAGCTTTAAAAGAGCCATTCTGATGTAAAGCCCATTCTTGGCTTGCCTAAAGTATGCAGCCCTTGCAATTCCATCTACATCTACAGTTATCTACAAGACTACAACCCACAATTTAAAATGGTTAAGCTAACAAGCAAATTGAAATAAGTTTTATTGTTTAAGAAGTACATGTTTGTAATAATGGCCTAACCTCATCAAGCCTTGGCAGAGGATGCATGACAATGGCATGCCTCTGTAATGCCCTCAAAACACCTGGATCCACAATATACTTCCCTCGGGCTTCTTCATATAAATCAGTTCGCTCCCCAAACCTTTCTCGTTGGATGCGGGTTTGATACAGAACATCACACTTGGAAGCCACATCCATTAAATCGGCACTTTCTTCCCAGTCAACTCCTTCAGATGTAAGATATTCCTTTATGTCATCCTGCAAAAAATAAATGAATGCATGGGATGTTTCTCTTATTACAAAGGGTATGCTGGTCGCTGGACCTCTGAAAATGCTAAGAAAAAAAATAGGGTCAAAAATAGATCAGTTTGAAAAGAAGGGAAAATTGGGGGCTGACTCCCATCTCAATTAATCAATCAATATACGATATTTTTCAAGATCATTTTAATTTAGGATGTTTTACTTGGACTGTTTTTGGTCCAAGACCAGACCAAACTTGACTTAAATAGATCAGGCCAGACCAAACTTAAAAGATCATACCAGACTTCGAGAGTTATAAAATACACACCAAGGTAGTCAAAGTCGAAAGGCGCACCTGAAGCGCTAGGGGTCTTCTAGCGCCTGAGGCACAAGGCACAAAAAAGCGCTCGCCTGACTCGGGTGAAGCGCATTACTTAGATAAAATCACATATACTATTCTATACTTGCCAAATATGATGTATGTAACATCATATTGAACCAAATGCATATAAAATTCAGGATTCACCAAAATAAAGTCATGATTCACAAAAAATAAAACACCAAATTCAGAATTCATGGCTTTAATACTAAAACTATAAATGAAAGACAATCAAATTGGATCCTATTTCCCCTTGTTAAACTTGTGAGCCTACATAGTACTATTACTTTATTAATAACATAGCAATATACTAATGTTGTGAGTAACATAAAGTAATACAGAGTATTATGACTATTATATACAAAGCAATATACTAATGTTGTGGGTGATATAGAGTAATACCGAGTACTATTACTTTGTTATATACATAACAATATACTAGTGCTGTGAGTAATATAGAGTAATGCAGAATATTAATACATTATTATGAGTAATATAGAGTATTATATACATAGTAATATACTAGTACTTTATTATATACACAGAAATATACTATAAGAGCACATATCTTGTTTAGTGGTGTGAGGGAGAACTGAGTTTGCTTAAGATGATGAAGAAAACAGAAAAAACTGGCTGGTGTAGAGCAACTTGAGTGAGAAGAGTGAGTACGCTGAAGAGCCGATGATGGCTAGCGATATCACTTAAAGGTTGTACATAAGGTTTTACGTTTTTACCTACTTTACATAAAGGTTTTACGTAGGTTTAAATGGTTTTACCCTATTATTTAGATGGGCTGAGTGTTATTAAAGATATGGGCTAATTATTTTTTAAAGTTTTAAACCAAAAATAAGGCTTGTCAGCCTTTTCCAGATGAGGCGACCCAGGCGTGCGCCTTTTCCACTTCAGCGCTTCATGCGCTTATGTTGCGCCTGACCCAGGTACGTGCGCCTCCCCTTCTCCCAAGCGCTGAAGGCCCTGCTCGCTGCGCCTGGTGCGCTTAAGCGCTGGGGCGAGCGCTTTTGACTACCTTGATACACACAGACCAGACCAATTCAGACTAGACCCATACTTTAACAAACCAGACCAATTCAGACTAGACGCATACTTTAACTGACAAACCAAATAATATCAGACCAAATCAGAAAATTCCAACCCAATTAAAACATCCTTAATATTTTTTATGTAATATTTCAAGATCAATCAAAGTTCTCAATCAAACTTGGTTTATGTCAAATTTTCAATGTTTTTAACCAAAACATAAAGCTATTTTGTCTAGTTTTTATGTAGAAAATGTTGAAGAAACATTTCTTCCTATAAAAACATTTCCCCACTTTCTACAATTTTCCTTATTCCAAGAAACAAGAGCAAGAAAGCAGTCACAAGACTACATTTACGAATAATAATTGCATAAATACATTCAATATAATTATTAAGTGATTTATCAAGAAGTATAAGGCAATTTTTTACACCACATATTGTCATCCTCCTACCTTCATTTTGACCACATCGGGGGAGACAAAGTAAATCTGCACATCCTGGTATTTGGTGAGAAGATAAGCTAGTGACCTAACTGTCCTTCCATTAGCAAGATCTCCAACGAGAGCAACTTTTATCCCATCAAGTTTTCCTATTTCTCTTTCGATGGTGTATACATCCAGTAGCGCCTGCTCGTGCAAAAAACAACTGCTTCAAAACTTTCTACTTTAAGAATACAGAAACCATGCACAATGACTTGTTCTCTTCTTCTAAAAAAAGAAGGTGATCTGGTCTGAATCTTTCTGGTACAGTTTGATTTGAACCTTTCTGGCCGGGTCTGAAGCTTTGTGCTTTGGCCTAGTCTATGGTTTTTTTTCTGGTCTAAGAATAAGCAGTAAGAAAAAGATAAAGGTGACCAGAACAACACATATGAATTGGATCTGCTTGGAAGTCAGTTGTCACGGACTTGTTCCCAAAGATTGTGACATGAAGTTCTGGCTTATAGCCTTTAAAGCAGAATGAGTAGCTTACGCGTTTTGATTTTCTTAATTGGCTGAATTGATTGTTCCAACAATCAAATGCCTGCAGTTAATATTTAAATGTATAACAGAGATACAATACATGGAAAACCACAGGACACATGGCATTTGAAAAAAACACTCCCTCCATTGAGAAAACAATTCTCTGTTGAGAAAATTGAACATAAGAATTAATTTTTCATTGTGCTATTTGTTTCTATGGTTTGGTACAATGAAGCATATTAATAGACCTTAAGTCACACTCCAGTTTGAGAGGCATAAAATTTCAGAAGAAAATTAAAAAAACAAAACATATTTTGTTCCACTCATTTTGGTAATGCTATTGGCAAAGAAAAAGCATCTATCTTTTGCTCCACTCATTCTCAACCATTTAAAGAAATAAGAAAATAAAAATGGGATGCTACAAAATAAAAAAATAGAGTAATATTTCGTGGGGAGAAGTTCCATATTTCATTATGGGTGGGCAAGTTGAAGGTCTGGTAATGCATGAAAGAAAATAAGAAATGTATCCCAAAGTTCTCATACATTTAAATATTTAATCATGTAGTTTAATATAATGCATGATTGCATGCAAACATTATATTCAATGTTGGGGTTCTCCAAAGTGAATAGAAAAGTATACTGCACATCATGAGAAATGCAACCTGAGTTGGGTGTTGACCGGGACCATCTCCTGCATTAATAACGGGAATGCTGGCTGTGGCTGCTGCTCTTCTGGCAGCACCACTTTCAAAGTGTCTCATGACGATTATATCAGAGTAGCCTTCAACCGTTCTTATTGTACCTGCATATTAATTAAATAAAAAATCACAACTATAAACCTATAAAAAATTCATGTAAAACCATCAAAATTCAAAATTATTATCCATAACTAATTCTACATTCCAGTGTTTCTCCTTTTGCTGCAGATGAAAACTCACGTGCATTTTCTGTTGTCAGAACTTCCCCACCAAGACGTTTCATGGCAGACTCAAATGAAAGCCTAGTCCTAGTGGAAGGTTCATAGAAAAGAGTTGCCATCAGATACCCCTTAAGCATCTGGTTTTCAGGTGATCCTTTCTCAACATCTTCCATTTCACGTGCCACTTCAAATATAGCATCAAATGTACTTCTATTGAATTGTTGAGCTTCAATTACATCATCAAGAATAAACTTGTTTCCCTTGGTGAACAACGGTTTGCTTTCAACTGCTACCGCTCTGCAATGGGAGCTGCTATCCCTTTGCAGACTCCTTGCAACAAGTTGGTTTTTCACCCATTTCTCATTAGAAGTTAAAAGTGAATTTTGCACCTTGGATATAGATTTCATGTTACGACTGCGGTTGGAGCAGAGATTGAGATGGTAGCTGAACATAACTTCATTATGACAGCCACTTGTAGAACATGTAGCCGGAGAAGCCATGACGATATATGGAATCAGCCCAACTGGATGAAACAAAACCACATCAAAGTAAAATCTTTGCAATTTCAATTGTTCAAACTCAAATGCTTTGTGCATTTAGACTTTGCGCAGACATGAAAAAATTATGAAACAATTTCAAATAATTCAGATGCATGATGCCTTTGAACAAGTTTTTCATGCAAGAGTTATCAAAAATCCATACATACAGACACACCTACCGACCTACGTAATTTTACTCAATACGTAGTGGGTATTACGAGATAAGAGAAAACTGGGGAAATCTCAAGATGTTGAAAGCTAATGTAGCTTAGACCAAATTTTCACACATAGAGTGTTGAAGTTAAATTAAAAACATACTACGTATTCAATTGTTGCTGCTAGCAGTGGCGGATCTAGCACTTGTATTTTGGGTGTTCCGAATTAATTTTAAATTAATCTTAAGAACAATAATCTTGTGTGAATGTGACGCATTGATGCAACTATGCCACAATTGTATACCACGTATATGTCAACTAAAACCCGAGAGAACCAGAGAGATACATAGAACTATAGAAGAGCAGCAGCCACAGCCAGCATTCCGGAAGCAGCATTCCGGAATGCTGGCTGGCCGAATGATGGCTGTGACATTTTTTTTTATTAAAACCCGAAGGTAGATTTTATGGTACCCAAAAGGTACCATACCTTTGTCCACTTGGACCAATCAAAATGTTACAGTTGAATTATTTAAATCTAAATTAAAAATGATTTAATGATTTGGACCAATGTAGGTACGGTACCCCATTTTTTAAATGGGGACCGGAGTTGTCACCAAACCTGAAGGGTAATTAATCACTAACCAGAAGAAGACCATAGGCTGAGAAGTCAAGAAAGCAGTTAAGAACCTGGTTATTTAATTCGTCGCCTAAAAGGGGAGAGACCGAGAGAACCAGAGAGATGTCACTACTCAGTGGGCTTGGCACCTTCGCTGTTGGGCTGGAGTGGCGACTGGCTGAGCGAGCGGCTAGGGCTGTTGGGCTTGGCATGAAGCTAACTCGCGCGTGTCTGGAGATGGGGCTGAATTGAATCGCAGGAGGGGTTAAAATGGGCCCGGCCCAAACAGCAGCATCTCATATTTATATCGATGTGACTATGGGTCTGTTTGCAACAGCTTCTGCTTTTAAAAAAGCGCTTTTTTAATGAAATGGAGAGAAGTGGTTAAATAAAAGTTGATAGTGTTTGAGAAAAAAGTGATTTTGAAAAGTAAAAGTGGGTAGTGTTTGGTAAAATAAGTGCTTTTTGTCTAATAGAAAAAGTAAAAGCACTTTTGACGCGGAAGGCGAGAAAAATAAAAGTTGTAGTGTTTGGGAAAATAAGTGCTTTTTTAAAGCAGAAGCTGAGAAGTGCTTTTTTAAAAGCAGTTGCAAACAAACCCTATGTCTATATAAAACACATGACAATATTACTCGAAATAGAACTAAAAAGGTTTGAAAATTCCAAAATAAGATTGTCGTGTTTTTATTCCCAAAATAGGACTAATTAATGTCATGTTTCGGCAGTACCAGACTTCAAACATGACAGTATTTTCGAAACTTAGCAGTAATTACTCCTATTTTGGAATTAAAAAACATGGCAGTTCTATTTTGGAATTTTCAAACTGTTTTAGTCCTATTTTGGGAACTTTCCCAAAAAAATATCGTGATAATAAAACTTTTCCAGTCTTTTTCTCAAAAAAAAAAAAAAAAGATGATATTTTGACTTTGCACCCCACTTTTTGGGTACTTTTTGGTTGATATTGGACTTTGCGTTCCATTTTCAAAACTCTTAGACTTTGCACCATATTTTCCCTAAAATGTCTTTGCCTTTGCACCCCACATTTAGGAAATTTTCTTCACAAAATGTTGTAGATATGGTGCAAAGTCTAAAAGTTTTGAAAATGGGGTGCAAATTCCAATATCAACCAAAAAGTAGGGTGCAAACTCAAAATTCCCAAAAAAAAACTCTTCCCGTCTAATAATAGCCATATAAGCAATTTCTATTACATGTGGAGTAAAATCAATTGGAAAACCTAATACCACATGATCAACATACAAGCTCATTAACCAACAAACAAAAATTATTCACGTAAATCCTAATTTGTAACTCGCTCTAATATATATTATAATTGTTATGCAGGTGTGGCAAACGGCAAACAAAACTAAAACTTAAATAATTAGTACTTCCTCCGTTCTTTAATTCTTGCAACAGTTTGACTTTCACGTTTGCCAACCCACAACTTTGACTGCGATTATATTTAATTATGTATTAGTAAACATTATAAAAGTTGATATTTTGGAAATACACATTGATGGGAATTCTATAACATTTTATATGTAATAATTTGATTGTGTATATTAGTTGAAGATCGTGGTCAAAGTAAGGTCTATGAATAGTGCAAATATCACAATGTTGCAAGAATTAAAAAACGGAGGAAGTATAAAATTAAAATGTGTTATTAATTACTCCATACTTGTTACGTAAAGGCGAGCTACAACAAACACAAAGGAAAGGTCCAAACTTTTGGTCTCCCATGTGACTCACTTGAAGAGGTCAGCAAGGAAATGGGAGCATCGGCTTGATATGTATCCAGTCCAGTCCGAAGCGAAGGGAAGTCAGCGGCTAAAACCTCTGTTGAGAAACGAGAACATACCGAGTTGTGACATACACATGAGCTGCGGAAACGCAGATCAAACTCTAGATACCGAGTTCACCAAACTAACTAGATTTGGAAGGAGAACTAAATGATTTACGATGCAAAGGTGCAACATTGTTTATTAAAAAATGTCATACTTCGTATTAATCTTCACTTTACGAATGCAGTGTCATTTAAAGGAGGCTAGACTTGGATTTTCACATGTCAAAATGTCATCACTTTATATCCAAAAGATAATAGTATGCAATGAAATGAGTGTATGATTGGACAATTCAACTTTGAAGGTATTCCTACTTTCTTAGCTTACCGGCACACTCTTACCAATTTACAGAAAAATTGAATTACAAGACATACATTGCTTTATTTGAAAAGTGTAAAATCCAAGATAAGAAATTTGTTTTAGTACTATTCATCTAATGTTTCTTTATACGCAGTACATCCGATCAAAATACAATTACTCTCTTAGTCCCGTTGGAAAGTTCCCATGGGCAAATGGCACGGTTTCTTAGGCAAATAGTTCAATAGAGTAAATTGGGTAAAAAGAGAGGAAAAAGAAAATTTAGAAAAAGTAAACACGTAAAGTAAAAATAATTAGAGGGGATAAATTGGGGGAAGAGATATTGTGAGACTTAACATGACATGAATAGGAAAGAGAAATTTGAATAAATGTGTAATTAAAGAGACTAAATAATTTCCTAAAATGAAATGAAAACTTTTTAAAATGGGACACTCAAATAAATAAAGTGAAAAGCTTTCAATAGGAAGGCAAGAGAATAAATGATTCCACAATATATTTTATTTCTAATTGGCATATACATTAATCAGGAAAATCAACAACCATAATATTAAGTGCAAAACCCAAGGCATAAGTGTTGCTTTTGTACGATGCATTGACTATATTCATGTACTACTCTCTTCAGAAAAATTGGGTATTCTCCATTGCTTTGTCCTATAACTTGTCATACCCGTTTGTGTATGAGCCGAAGCTAACCTAGAAATTTGGGCAGAAACTGGACAGAATTTCACTTGCTTATTTCTTTCTCCATACAATATCTCCATTATTTTAATGACAATATTCCAACCTTTTTTTTGTAACCTACTCTCTTCGTTCTTTGATAGTTGCAACAGTTTAATTTAACACACTATTCATCAACTTTGTTTTGGCCATGATATTATATATATATATATATATATAATGAAATTATTATGTATAAAATATTGCTAAATATCTCTTGATGTGTTTTTCCAAAGTATTAAATTTTTATAATTTCATTAATACATAATTAAACAAAGAGAACAATGTTTAATTGTACCTCCTATTTTGTACAAAAAATCAATTTAGCCCCCGTACTATGAAAATTTCGTCAAATCCAAATCTAGATACTACATTATCGACATACAAGCTCATTAGCAAACAGCGTATCGTGAATTGTTGAGCGAAGAAAAATTATTCACATAATTTCCGATCTGTAGCTCCCTTTACTATATATACATTGTTATGCAGGTGTGGCAAACGGCGGACAAAACTAAAAATTAAGTAACACACACACAGAAAATAAACACAACTGTTATCTCAATTCAAATAGCACATATGGTTTTATACATGGTTAAGATTTTGAACACAAAAAAGTATGAAATTATAACTTGTTATTAAATACTCCCTCCGTCCCGAAAAGGTTGGCCAAGGTTGACATTCACGTGGATTAATAAAGTAAAAACTGTGTGGTTGAAATTTGTGTAGAGGAGAGAGAATTAACTTTAATCACATATTCCTTACTTTAAATGGAAATGGACAATCTTTTTGGGACATCCAAAAAAGGAAATTGGCCAACCTTTTCGGGACAGAGGGAGTACATGCTAAGTAAGGGATAGCTAGAAAAAACACAAAGAAGAGGTTTGATCTATTGGTCTCCTGCGTGGCTTGGTTGAAAAGGTCAGTGAGGAAATGGAAACAACGGTTTGATATGTACCCGCTCCAGTCTGAAGCGAAGTGAAGTCAAAGGTTAAAACATGTGGTGAGGAATGAGAACATGTCGAGCAGTACATACACGAGAGCTGCGCAACTGCATATCAAACTCTAGATATATACCAAGTTCACCAAACTGACTAAATTGGAAGGAGAACTATATGATTTACGATGTAAAGATGCAACGGTGTTTAGTAAAAAACTGTCATTTGTATTTCCACATTATGAATGCAGTGTTATTTAAAGGAGGCTAGACTTGGATTTGCACATGTCATCGCTTTTATTTCCAAAAGATAATAGTATTCAATGACATGAGTGTATGATTGGATGTACAATTCAACTTTCAACATATTCGTACTCTACAGGCTGGTTTGCAACCACTTTAAAAAAAAACACTTCTCAGCTTTTGGCTTAAAAAAGCACTTATTTACCAAACACTACCAATTTTTTATTTTTCTCGGCTTTCGTGTCAAAAGTGCTTTTCCACTTTTTATACACCAAAAGCACTTATTTTACCAAACACTACCAACTTTTACTTTTCAAAATCACTTTTTTCTCAAACACTATCAACTTTTACAAATAATCACTTTTTCCAAATCACTCCAAAAGTGCTTTTTTTTAAGCAGAAGCTGTTGCAAACACTCCCTACTTCTTACAAGTATACTCATATCGTTTTATGGAAAAATTGAATTGCAAGACATACATTGCTTTAATTGAAAAGTATAAAATCTCTAATAAGAGATTTATTTTAGTATATGCACCTAATGTTTCTTTATATGTAGTACATCTGATCAATATAAAATTACTCACCTCGTCCCGTTAGAAGGTTCACATGTACAAATGACACGATTTTTTAGGCAAATGGTTAAACAAGTGAATTTGGGTAAAAAAGAGAGGAGGGAGACCATTAGAAAAAGTAAACATATAAAGTGAAAGTAATTAAAGGAAGATAAATTAGAGGAGGAGAAATTGTGAGACTTGAC